TGCTATCCAAACGCATGTGCATTGCCAGGAGCATATTGCCTGGACCTCTGGGCCATGGACCACAAAGCGAACACACGTAAGACTATTGTCAGAACGGAGTGCTCCGTTTCACGGATTAAGTCTACATAAACCCTAGGCACAAGAGACAACTAAAAGGAAGCTGGGAAAGGCACGGGCATCCAGCTTGCACCCAGGGCGGGTTGGGTGGGAACCAAAAATCAATCTTGCGCCATAAATCACCGAAAACATCGTGTCAAGCAATTGGCACGCGATCAACCACTCAAATGTAAAGTTTGCGAAACCAAAATACGGCAAGAGGTTTTTGACTTTTCTTCAGGCTTTCGCCGGGCATAAGGATGCATAACCAAACCTAAGGGGTCCCACCCACCCACCCAGCTAATCCTCCCTGACAAACCCATTGGGGGACCCAAGAAGCTTGTCAGAACGGATTGAGCCAGATGAGTATCACTATAATAAAGACGAATCTATAAGCATCCATTCAAATCATATCAAAATCAAAATCTTCTTCACGAAAACTCCCATCAAGATATTCAATCAAAAGATGCACATCCAGAAGATGCAACGCAAGCTCAGTCTTTTGGCTGGTGGCGCGGATCCAAACCTTGTTAGCTCGACCACAACGCTACGTTGACGGTTCAAGGTGCAACCACACGAACTAATCCCAACCGAAGGCGTGGGGTGTAACCCATTCGAAGCGCAAGCCTACCACTTGGTTTTCTCAGCCAGCTTTTGCTTCTTGGACACTGGTGCATGCACGGGATTTTGCAACCTCTGATTTGAGCGTGCCAGCTCAAGATCGTGGTAAGCCGACTGCATCTCGTTGAAGATGGCCATGGGCAGTATATCAAGGGAGGCATCAACCCTGTTGCACAAAGAGAAACGCTCGAAGCGCATATTGGTAATGTCATCAGCCTCGACATTCTCCTCACGTGGACGCCATTGCAATCTCAAGCGGGAACCTGCAGAATACAAGTAGGCTGAAAACTGCATGAGGATACCCATCAGGGGCCACTTCATGGAGGAACCTTTCGTGGTTGCCTGCGGGTTGGACCGATTGTCAGTCCCGGCGGTGATGATGGCAGGAAGCACAAGCCCCGCTGGAGAAATGTAAGGTGCAAACACCACGCAGGCCAGGTAGGTCGCAAGGAGCTCGGCACTTGCTGACGCCCACTGTGAGGTTCCATCAGGCTTAAACAACCAAGGGGTATCAGAAGGACTAAGGACTAAACAAAACCAACTAGCAACCCCGGGGAAACCATCCTTACCTAAAAGCCAACCTCGCACTTGGCATCGGTGCGGAAGAGCTGCCGTGACTGCGGTTCCTTGTGAGGTGCTGGGACCAGGCGGCGCCCTTCCCTCAGCTGAGCTCGCAAGAAAAGGAGTGACAAATGGACCAAGGCCGGCATCTTGCAAGCAGTGCCTCTGGCCAGCACCGAGCACCATGCATGCAAGGGGGCGAGAAATGGTTTAAGCCAAGTAAGAATCCGGGCCACGAATGTCAACCTCCCCGTGAGCTCGATCACGGACCTGCCGACCACAACCCAAGAAGACTCAGCGGCCTTATCAATCCAAGAAATGATCCAGGCAGCACGGGATTCGGAAATGCCTGCAGACCAGGTACTGTAAGAGAGATGATACCCTATGTAGTCCACGTCAAGACCCCCCCGAAATTTATGGTATGCAAAAGGAGTGCCGACCACTTCGTACGCCGCAAGAATAATCCAAAGGTTGATGAACTTCTGCGCACCAGCAGTCATCAGATGGAGGTCGTCTACATAGACCATCTGGAGGTTGAAAGAGGTGAGCATAAGGCGAAGCACCCAACGGCCTACCAGCCCGAAGAGGCGAGCCCACCAGTAGGCGGCTGATGCGATACCAAAAGTACCGACCCGGTTTATCCAGATCGCGCGAGAGGAAGAAGAAGCGCGGCAAGCTAATTTGGGCCAGTCAGCCCTGCGCACCCGCACCCTGCGGTGAGCTTGGGCGATGTCCGCCGATATAGCGAACACCGCCTCTTTGGTCATCTCCACAGCCTCATTGGGACCAGGCACTTCCAAGCCCAATGCCATGCATCCCGTCGTGGAGGGGTCTTACCTCCCCACTAGGCTTGGCCACAGCGCCCATGGCAGCTACCAACAATCTCCCCGGCCCATATTCCGTCTCCACAGCCGCTTCAGTTGTAGCACTTCGGGCGCAGACGAACTGGATGCCTGACCTCGTGCACCTGGACCTGCCCTTCTGCTTGAGATGCCGGGGCACCAGAAATGACTGCAGGAGGAAGAGGAGGAAAAGATTGGTGTGGCTCAGACAGACCCCCTTTCTCCGTAGGAGTCTGAACCAACACGAATCCCAAGTCTAGAAGCTGGCAGATTTGAGAGTTTTGCAAGCCGGTGCAATCAACAGAGAAGCCAACCAGTACTACACGGTCACCTGACCAAGGTTCTGTGCAATGAAAACGAAGATGCGCCTGCGGTACTTGAGGCGATGCAGCGACATCCAGCAGCTTGCCCTCCACCAAAGTTCCCTGAACAGCGCGAAGCACCTGTCCACCGGGCTCTTCTTGCCAGACCTCGCCTCCAGTGAAGCTCGACAATGCTAGCAACAGATTGGGAAAAGCAGCATTACGCGAGTCACGGCGCATGGAAGTCAACACGTTGAAGAAGATACCAAAGGAGGAGAAAACCTGATTGGGGAATCTTTCCCGCAGAAGTCGGGTAAAGCACTGGATGGAGAAGGGGTGGGAGCTGCAAGTGGAGCGCAGGCCACACAAACCTCCTCGAAGAAATGCTCCAGCATAAAATGCGCCTCCATGATCTGCCTGCGTGGCTTTGTGTGCATCTTCTCGAGGGAGAAGCCAGGCCAAAGACAGAACCTGAGGAAGGGGCATGGAAAGGCCAGAAAGGAGGGAGCGCGCACACTCTTCCGCCGATGGCTGCACAGAAACATCACCAGTGCATGAGCCGGGGACAGACTCCACAATGGCCTGGGCAATGTATTTGCACATGAGAGTGGGATAGGCTTCTGCACCTGATGTCAGGAAGCGACCATCTCTGAAACCCACTAGAGGAGGATGGGATCCGTGAGGGCAAGAACCAAGAGGCCCTAAGTAATTTCTTTGAGGATCGAACTGAGGCCAGGAACACTGCACAGGCAAGAAGGCAGGCAAGTTGCTGGCAAGAAGCGTTGGCTTGGATGTTGCAGCTTCAAACATGCCAATGCTTCCACGTGGGATGTTGCCCGAAGCAGTCACGCACCTGACAACAATGCACCATCCCGCAATCGCCCTGGCAACCGGAGGTCGAGTATGCAAAGCAAATCATCCTGCCGTCCGGAGTGCGGCTGGCAAGTTCACCGTGGCCTTGGCCTTTGCCCTTCTTGCCCTTCTGCTCTTTCCCTTTGCTGGAATCCTTACCCTTTCCTTTGCCAGGCCCTTTGTCATTGCGGCGCCACTTCCAGGGCTGCCCACCAGGGCGTTCATACCAGGTGCTGGGCGCAGGCATGCCGCGATGTTGCAAAGCGATGGGGGACGTGAAGAACTCATTCTGCACCTCCAGAATCGTATCCTTGAGGGCACGACTGTCTCGAAAGGCACGCTTGACAGCTTCTTTCCTCAGCTCAAACTCGTAATTGAGCATCACTGTCCATGGAGGACGCAGAGAGATCTGCTCAGACTTGCCCTTTCCTGAAGGCGAGGGGATCTGCATCAGATAAACTTTGTCGCCCAAGAGGAAATTGCTGTAGTCCAGCCAAACGGCAGGCGTCAGATCTTTAAAAAGATCTTGTTCTTGTATTTGCTGGCCAAGAAAACCCAAGCATTACCCTCCACACGCAACACAGTACGAAGATCCTCCGTGTTCTGCGGTAACGAACCTTGGTTACGTTGCTTGACGATCCGGACGTGCCCCCCAGCGTCCACGCTGGTTTGTATGCCAAGGGTCTTCACCTTGCGCTTGCTGGTGACGTCTGAAAAAGGCGACGCCACAATCTCACCATTTTCAACTTCTTCCATTTTGGTCGAAAGATAATCAGCCGAAGGTTCAACCACTTCATCAAGACTACCAAAAGTTTTCTCGTATGAAATCCGCATGGCCTGATGCTCGGTCTGCTTGATTGGCCGACTAACACCCAGCACCCTAGCTTCAGCTTTGAGCTCACTCTCCTTTGCACTGAACTCTCGGCAAGATTCCCAAGCTGAGACCACTGAGGCCACTGCCGCCCGCGTATCTTGATTGGTGGCCTCGAGGGCATGATCCGCCTTAAGTGCAGCACGGACATCTGACCTGGCGTCAGCATAAGTTGAGAACTTCTTTACGTTCTTGAAATGCTGGCCAAGCTTGTACTGCAACCCGACAGGAACCCCACACTCATTAAAGATGTGGAGCAATTCAGTTGTCAAATTCTTCTCAAAGAAATCAAGGGCAGCATCCTGCGTAACTCCTGCAGGCAAGTCCACCGCACTCATAGCGACCTGATATTTTTATGTCCTCCGTGACCGAGGACTTTAGCTGCCACTAGAAACTTCCGGGAGCTAAGCTCTCCGCCCTCTTTCGACCGAGGATGTTTCAGCTCAATTCGACCGAGCCAAATGCGCTGGGCACTTTAACGCATCAAGCTCTGACAACCTGGTAACCCATGCAAGGCAGATGCAAACTTGCAATCAAAACAGTCGACCGCAGATGATGCGTAAAGCATGTGCATCTCTTTTGTGTTCACCCGCAATGAGTTCAGTCCCCTGCTGATGCTACCGGAGGTTCTGGGGCTGCTGCCTGCACGTCATTGGCATTACTGTCCTCGGACCCACTGCTCGAACTACTGACTGTGCCTGACAGCCTGGGCTTGCAAAGCTTGCAAATCGAATCAGCAGAAGCTTCGCCCAGAGAGAATATGCCAATGGTCTCCAAGCACCTTTCTTGCCTCACAGCACAGGCCTTAGCAAGATGCAATCGCCTGTGACCCTTGCGAGAAACAGTCACAAAATAAGGTGCCTCTCCAAGACTCTCCTCAGCATTCCAAGCATGGAAAGGCCCCGGCAGCTGGGCTCCAATGTCACCAGAAGCCCCTTGCAGCTGCTCTGGGCGGATCATGATATGCGGATATCTCCCATGAAGTTTCCAACACTTTGCGATGGCATCCCATTTTGAAACCATATGTCTCCGGAGGATCATCTGCTGATCCAGCGCCAGATCAGCACAAGCCTGCTTCACTCCAGCAAGGACCTCTTCCTCGATGTAGCCTCCGTCCGCATTACCTTCCAAGACCGTCTTTGAAATCAGGTTCTGGATCCCATGTACCACCTGGCGGGACGTCAAGATATAGTCCTGTGAGCCATGTTGTGCGTAACACCAACGGCCGAGGAAATCCCGGCGATCCTTTCCGACATCCAGAGCAGCCGCAATACTTGGCAATGTGTGACGCGCGCTATGCCCGCTCCAAAATGTTCGCAACTTGTCCGGAACCAAGAGATTCGTCGAAGTTGCCCAGGCGCCATTCTTAACAGTTGGCTCGCGGAGGCATCCCAACATCCGACGCAACAAAATAGCTAAGCCTTCGGCTTCCAGGATCAGGTTTTTCTGTACGTCCCAAGCATCGCTCATCGCCGGGCAGAAGAAATCCCGTGACCACGAAAATTGCTCATTGGCAAGTAGACGCATGCCCTCCGTTAACCAGTCAAAACCGCTCAGGCCAGCAGATCGTGAAATATAAGCGAACAGTTCGCCCACTTTGCGTCCAGGTCCGCTCGTCTTAGTCTTCCGGAGACAGAATTTCAAACCCACCTGGGAGAGCCTGACAGATTTAATCTCCACATGTTGCAAATCATCAGCTCGCAAAGTTGACCATGTCATGAGTAGAGGCGAGCAACGCCTTCGGCACAGATTTTCCAATGGGCTTGATCTCATGCCTCTCCTCGAGGTAACGCAAAATGCGTCCAACATCACTGGGCCAAGATTCACCATGGGTCGCCTGCAACCATTCTCGAAATGCAGCCCATTCCCTGGCTCTATTACGCAAGGACTTACCCCTTCTTCCACCGAAGAGACGTATCCAGGCCTTGCTGTCGGCATTGATTGCTTCCATTCGTTCCGACACAGGAAGACGCGCCTCCTCGATATACTTCACAAGAATCAGGCTCCACTTCTCTTTAAGCATGCGTTCCAGTTCCTCAGCAGGTTGTCCTGTACGCCTTCGTGCCTTTAACGCACGGTTCAGGGACGAGAGAGTAATGCTAGGGCTGCCTGCCACTAATTCCTCAAACACATCCCCCACAGACGGCAGGGTCCGCTGTACCTTCGAAGGACGCTCAGCAATGGATCTATGAAGTAGATCAACAGGCCCAGGCCCATGGTCTTTCATGCGCTCCTTCCAAGAAGACAACTGGAGCCCAACCCTTTTCAGAGCATCTGGATCCAACTGCGCACCCAGCAACTCGGTAACGAGATCGCAGGCGCTCTGCAAATCATCAAATGCTCCATGCAAATGCAAAGGTGTCTTGTAAAGCTTTTGCGCAGCAGTCACAAAACGTAAATCAACAGATCTGATATCATCCCAGGCACTCATACTGTAAGCAAATGCAAGCACTCACGTCTACGGCGCTTGCACCAAAGCAATTTATGCAACTGAGCCAGTTTCACTCCAAGTGAGTGTAGCCAGGACTCACCAGACCTCTCAGCAGCGTTCAATCGTGCCTCGAGAGAATCGATACGGTCGTCCAACCTTGCAGTGCGCCTTTCCAGAATGCAGATATGGACAGCACACCACTCTCCTTGCTGCTGATGTAACACCGACTGATCTTCCAGCCAATCCAGTCGCCCAGCAAACGCGAAAGCAGTATGCATGTACCACCAGGCACACAGGGCCTAATGCATTGGAAGGCAAAATCCTGAAACCATCGCGCCAACGGTCTCCCGTCCCCTACCAAACCAAAAATCAATCTTGCACCATAAATCACCGAAAACATCAAGTGTCAAGCAATTGGCACGTGATCAACCACTCAAGTGTAAAGTTTGCAAAACCAAAATACGGCAAGAGGTTTTTGACTTTTCTTCAGGCTTTCGCCGGGCATAAGGATGCATAACCAAACCTAAGGGGTCCCACCCACCCACCCAGCTAATCCTCCCTGACAAACCCATTGGGGGACCCAAGGAGCAAGTGGAAAGCTTTGCACTTTGCACTGATTGCG